TTCAGTTCTGGGCAGTTTCCCACGTAGTTCTAACAATTGAGAGAAAAATGCTGAGGGGCCAGAAACTTCAAAGTAATAACTCAGGTTGTTATATTTATTTTGGTCACTTTTCTGGTCACTTTGATTTATTCTTTGGCAGTATTTAATAATATAACTCAGGTCTGCTGCTGAGAGGAGGATGGTTGCGCCGGCTGCGGTCCGCTCTTCTTGCAGTCAAACACCGAGCAACTTTCTGCTCTTAAATTGTTTCCGTGCACGATGTATTGCATTGCGCACTATTGGCATCAGTCTTAATAAAGTGAAGCCACACTTTTGAACTGGGGGGCATTTTAAAGGGGTTCCACGACACTCGCAACCAGTTCACAACAGATACACATGAAGCCTGGCTGTAGGCGGGACCACCTATGTATTTTTCCTGGATGACGCAATCACGTTAAGTGTTACAGCCAATCACCGAAACTTGGCACCGAGACGAGGCATGTTTCAATACTCTGTAGAACCGAAGCATTTCGGTTGGTACTATAAAAGAACAGATGTTCGGTACCCAGCCCTATCTCCCTGCAAGCTCCCAGATCAGCTGCTTGATCTGGGACGTCGGGCAACCCAAGTTTAATTTTTCTAACTCCTGCACCTGCTGCTCTTGAGGCACATCACTCGCCTCCGATGCTCAGAATCTCACAAGACTCTGCTGCAGCTGCTCAGAGGCTTAAACATGCGCTGCTCCTGCTGCTCGAGATGAGTTGTGCCTTGATGTGCATCAACCATAGACTTTGCACGTAAAGCTGCTGCTCGAATCACGTTTGGTGGGAACGTAGCATTAAGGCCGATTTATACTTCAAAACCAGGTCCTCTGCATAGGTGTTGCAGTGAACGAAAAGCCCTCCCCGCCCCCTCCGCAGAATCTCTGCTGCACCTCTCCCAAACTGTAACTGACCGCAGACAGTGCCGCAGACAGGAGGCCGGCTTGTTTAGTTTTTATGACCGAAATTGCGGAAAACAACTCATGACGTTTGACCAGCTAGAAGATCGAGGTGCACAAGAACACTGGGACCCTTTTTCCACTTGGATCCCGTTTTTCGCCATCATGTCCCTCCGTTGTCGGACTAAACTCGCCTCCACTTCCTCTTCGCCTCAGCCGTATAGCATAAACCACGCTTCAAAATTGAGCATAAATCAAAAATGTCTGCGTCAAGCTCACTGTGACGCACTGCTTCAGGAGTATAACCAGCCCTTTAGGGTTACATTTACACCTTGGCATCCATGTTTTTTCAAATTGTAGCCCCCCCGCAGTCAGTGGGCCAAATGTAGCCTGAAACCATAATATTCCCACCTCCATGCTTGAATGTAGGCAAGAGAGTCTCTTCTTTGACCCCCACCAAATCCCCTCAATTCAGTTTATTCATATGCTGAGTTGGTTCTTACATTCAATAGCACATTTCAGAGTCATTTCAATCCATCATACACACAGATTCATTAAGTTTTTCATCAAAACCATACAGACTGCACTCCGTTGACATGCAGAATTCCCCCCACATGTAACAGCAGTGTACAGTTGCTTGCACTGCCATTGACTTTGCAGCAATCCCACATCTGAGCAAACATGTGGCTACAACAGAAGGGAAAATATTTAACAGACAGAAACTTTCTACAGAACCAGGCTCAATGGCCTTAAGCCACAACTAACTAAGACTTTGAGAAGGCAGAGCAGAGACACACTAAATGGTTCCACAATTGCTTAACACCTTTGAAACCAAAACAGCTCTATCTTGGTCTCCACAGACCATATGAGAATGTTTCATTCATCTTCTTAGTACACTTCTCTTCTGCAAACCATCTGCAGGCCCTCGCATCAGAAGAGTATAGTGGTATATTATCACCACAACCCCATAACGCTAAATTAGATGGTGGCAGAATGTCTCTGTATGCCTTAAAATGCATATTTTGTTCAAATTGAGCGCAACACAACTCATAATCTCCTTAGCTTCTACATTCTGCAGGCAGAGTGTATTTATACATATGGTTTAAGCTAGCTGGCTAGCATATCTTTTTCTCTTTATTGTTTACATTTATAACAGGCACAGTAAAAGACCGCCACAATCCAGGCCTTATTAAGAAGTTTCCTGGCTAATGAAGCTAAACCAACAGAAAGCAAATTTCTACTAATTTTGGCATTGTGGGCAGATGGAAAATCATGCTGGATATAAGCATTTCCATTATGTGCTTCTTCTCTGATCAAAATCTCTCTACCTACATTACTTATTCAATTGATCTTAGATTTATGGGTTCCAGGGCCTCAAAAACTTGATCTCCAAAGTACTCCGGGCAGGACTTTAACTCACATGCATAGCTGCAACTCTCTTTCCCCTCTGTGGTGGCAAATATGTGCATTATTACTATTCAAATGGCTTGTTTGAATGTGACCAAAGTTGAGTGGCTCTGCAGTTTGAAAACTGCATTTGGTAAAATTGCAATTAGGTTGCAAATACAAATATTTACTGTGTTTTGGGGTGAACATGAAAAGACCTGTTTTAAGTGAGCTGCCATTATGCTGCAGCTGAATGATTTTTGAAACATTGGGGAAAAAACTGTCCCACTACCAAAAACTGCCAATTTCAGATGAATTTATAACAATGTCAAGAAGTAAGAGATAAAACTAGGGGCCTCTTTATTATTATTTTCAAAGTTCCTTTCAATCAATATTAAGTAAGAGTGACAATTGGCTCCCTTTGCTCTTCAAAGCAGGAGAGTAGGTTCACATGTGGACAGAGGGACACAGTGATAAACGTCTTGCTGCCTGCAAAATCCTCACAATAGTCTTTAAAGGTATAGTGGAGGATTTTCGCAAATTTTTGAAAAGACCCGCCCTCTCCACTTTAAAAAAAAAAAAAATGCATACGCAGAACCCTGTACCCGCTCCCGAGCGCCTATTAACGGCGTGCAGGAGCATGCATGAGCCAAATTCTGCAGGCTCTGTTTATAAAGATGCTGTCTGCATCACTCGTACAAACTAACTTTCCAAAGGAAGATTTGCAATTTTTCCCACGATGTCAGACTCACCACTGGTAAGTGAAAATGGGGACGAGCAGGTAGGATGGTTTTACGCAACATATCACCAAATTGACAAATAAGAAGACCACTTATTTTGACTATCCACTAAGAGTTGGTGTAATATTATCAACCATCAAAATTAGGACCAAGTTGCTGTCAGATGTGAGAGAGTTCTGTAATGTTTAAATATGCACCGATCCAGTTTTTTTACGATCCAATCCGATACAGATACCTGGGCTGAGTGTATCGGCTGAGATCTGATACCGATGCAATTCAAATATTAAATGAACGAATCATATTTCTTGCTATGAGAAAGAAGGCTTTAGCTTTGACATAAACGTTGTTAAAACAAGTGCCAATTGTCCACAGCCATAAATGCATTTAACTGCATGGTGTATATTAATTATTAACAAATAAGCAACAAAAACAAAGAGTTAACACTTCCATGTGTACTGGGTTAGATATTCAGCAAATTAATCTATATTGGAGCCAATGTCTGATCCATGTATCAGATCAATGCATCCCTAGTAATGATTTGTAGGCAGAGAGTTCCTTTCCCTGATTTTTACTGCAGGGTGAACCTGAACCTGACAACAAAAGTTGCGAGAGTTTCTGAATTTTACAGCTCTGTGTTGGATTATTTTGAGTAGTCATCAAATTTAGATACTTATGCAAACTGTACACTGGCTGCTTACATTGTATAAAAGTGTCATAACTATTTCGGTGCTCTCCCATGAATTCAATTCAATTCAATTGAGTTTATTTCTATAGCGCCAATTCACAACACAAGTCATCTCAAGGCACTTTACAGTTCAACCAGATCATCCAGTCAAATTGATTCAAAGTTTTCTATCTAAGGTAAACCAGTTGATTGCATTGACTCGTTGACTCAAATACAATCCCTCACACTAAGCATGCTTGTAGCAACAGTGGAGAGGAAAAACTCCCTTTTAACAGGAAGAAACCTCCAGCAGAACCAGGCTCCGTGTGAGCGGCCATCTGCTGAGGCCGACTGGGGTTCAAGGAGACAGAAGCAGAGAGGATGAGAACTATTACATAATTGTGAGGGCTACACTTCTATTAGATCTCGTGTTCAAGATCTGACACCACAACTCAAAGCCATTTCTTGCTGTCACTGATTTTTTCTCTGGTGCTACATTCAGAGAAACATGTTGGATGGTTTGCTGCACATTAAACTAAATAAAAATAAACAGTTGTATCTGTTATTTAGTTGTTTAGTTTGGTCTGCTTTCAGCAGTATTGTGTGAAAGATAAGAATTTTTGTAGATTGCCATTCCCTATCAAACCACGTCCAACAGTTGACAGTGGAAATGCCATTTAAAGCATTGCAATGTCAAAAGAAGCATTTTATAACTCAAGCCTCTAAACATTTCTTGGATAAACAGATATGTATCAATAAAACCTGTCAAAACATAAGATTGTCTCTTATTTATTTTCCGTTTGGGATTAATAAAGTATTTTTGAATTGAAACACATCCTTTCAAATAAACAACCCATTTCACAGGAAGACATCTCTGGATGCATCCTAACCAGAAAACTTTCATGAGTTTGATTAGACAGATACCTTTGCTCCATGAGCTTGGTGAATTATCTTCATGGTGTCTGAAAATATAAAAGAGAAGAATTATATGGAGTCATTTTTATATCTGAGAGCATGTAAAACAGGCCCTCAAAGAGAATAATGTAAACACTATCAAAACTGGTTCTGTGTGTGTGTGTGTGTGTGTGGGTGTGTGTGTGTGTGTGTGTGTGTGTGTGTGTGTGTGTGAGAGTACAGGGGGGATTTACCATTAGGCAATACTAAGCAGTTGCCCCAAGTTAAAGTGGTTCTTTAAATGACAGCTGTAGATAATAATACATCTAAAAACAGTCACTGACTTGTCAGTGAATCACTAACCCGATTCTATGATAGTTGAATGATCATTCTGGTTCTAAATGTGGTGATTTTACTTTAATGTGTGGGATACTAAGTAGTGTGCGGTCCCTGAAAATATTTTGCTCTAAGTTCAGTACACAAAAGAGTAAAAAAAAAATATATAAATGAAACCTAAATTGATTAGTAAAATATTAGTATATGCCAGCTAACAGCATACCAAATTCACCTTAGATCTCAAAATTCAAAAAAGCTTAATCTTTGCTTTTATTTCATATCTAAACCTAACCCAGACCAACTGTTCAGAGAACTTGTAATGTATGTTTTATGTTTCAAAGGCAATCATAACAACAAAAGAGACCCAACCTGTACAACATGAGAGTTTCTGGAAACAAGTTTCCAAGTACATGTGGCTGTAGAACTTCAACAAACTAAAGGAAAATGTAACTAAGAAGATTCAAAATAGAATCCCTACTGTCAATGACACATAGTTTCAACAGAGTCAAAAAAACAAAACAAAAAAAAAACAAACATACCATATCCATAGTTTCTGAAAGGAGGAGGAAGTCCTGGTCTTGTGGCAATATCTGGAAGAAATGGTACTTATTTCAGGACATTTTTCCCCCCAAATCAGTCCAAACATCAGCACAATGTATTAGCTTATATCTTTTATACCACTGCATTCCTTAAGGGAAGTCTGGATTTATCAGTTTTCTTACAAGTTTTACTTTACAGAGGGTTTACCGGCCCTGAGAACGGGGACTTGATTTTTAGTGTTTTATAGTAACCAAGTAAAAATACTTCACTACTATACTTAAGTATATTTTGGAGTACTTAATCCTTTCCAAGAGTATAAATTTTTTTGAAAACTTTCACTTTTACTTCAGTACATTCACAAACTTAACTGCATACTTTTACGATACATTTTCAATGTTTGGTTTAGTTACTAAGTAAAAAAACAAAAACAAAAAAAACACGAGCGAGAGAGCGAGAGAAACGGAAGTGTTTTGACCCCACCTACTGACTACAAAGTCGGGTCTTGCCTGTGCTTATTCATCAACACCAATAGGATATAGATTGGTCACTGGGCACTATTGTGAAATATTGAGCGTAACGTTATCTGTATAAATGAACTTTGTTTGGAATTGTTTTCAGTTCCACACGTGGTGCATTTAGCTTAAGCTAAATGTTGACTGTTGCAGGCTTTTGAAGATGAACAGAAGATTTTACAGTTTTAAGTGATAATGGGGTTATGTGCAAGGATGACCACAAGGGGTGGTTAAGATTTGGAGGGGAAGAAAAAAGTCAAGGGCAAAAGTGTGGAGGGGATAAGGGGGCTTGTGTTTACAAAGTATTTAAGATTTAGTTAATTGGCCTGAAGTGCATCTTTTTTTCTCTGGTGTGATGTACACTTAATTTCAGCACTGCCTTTTTTTTTTTACGTTAGTTTACAAAAAATGTATTCCTCTTCAGATGCCAAATAAACTGCAGTTCCCTCCCATTTATTTTTCTTTTGTAAAATGACTTGTTATGTGTGCGCCTTTTGTTTGTGAAGTACAGTCATTTACAGCTTTTTTTTATTCTTCATTTTGGCCTCGTTTACAAATCACTAGAATGCCAGATAAGCTTCCGTTTTTTTTTTCTTTTTCTTGATATGATGTCAATTACAGTAGAAATAATAAAACTTGATCTAAATTTATCCTACACTTAGTTGTGTATATTATTTGAAGTGAATTTAACCTTCA